TAGGCAGGGAAACTGCTGGATCTTCTAAAAGTGGTTAACTGGTACAGCACTGAATGAGTCCACTATGGCTCATGTTCTTCCCTGGCACCTCAAATCTTGGGTTTTTTTTTTTTTTTGGTCTTATTTTGGGGGCTGGGTGCTGAACATCTGTCGCTGGACCATCTCAACCCAGATCCAATTCACTTTGTGTCAACTGCGAGTTGGTTTGGATTGATCCTTCAGATCCTCAGTCATGTTTAGAACTTAGGGAAAGGGTACTCATACCTTCTTGGCTTCTGCCCACCTGAAATGATTTTAAGTCTGCTTCTGACTTTATACCCCTAACAGGGCTCTGGTTTTGTTCTCCCATTTGTATCCTCAGTGTTGTCCTAGCTGCTGTGCCTATACTCTTGCTCCTGGCCTTCTCCGGTCCCAACTGACCCTCCACGAGGGAAGAGATGTAGAGCCGGAAATGATCTCGGAGTGTTTCCCAAATTGTAGTCATTAATATACCACCTTTATGGTTTTTTGCCATATAGGGAGATCATCTGAGCCACAATTTACCTAATATTTTTCTTTACGTTGACTAAATTCTTTAACTTAAATATCTACTTTCCCCTCATTCTAAGGAATGGTATTTATAAAATCACAGACTTGAGATGGTAGTTATCGTTCTGCAACACACATTTAGTATAAATTCAAAAGTAGTAATTTTAAGGAATTTTGCTATGTACTTTCTTATGTACACTAGCTTGTGTCTAAGTAACAACTTGAGGAAATAGTGATCTGGGCTACCTCTCCATTCTACAGATCAGGAAACCTGCTTCCTAGCTCCGGGTCTAGTGCTTGTTTTCACTATGCCTGGGGTTGTTAGTCTGGGGTTCTGCACACAGTGACTCGACTATCATTGACACATATGAAAAAATTAAATCACAATACACACATGCCTGGGAATGTGGCGTAAAGGATCCTGATCCAGGGGCTCCGTCGGTTAAGCGTCCGACTCTTAATTTCAGCTCGGGTCATGATCTCACGGTTTATGGGATCAAGCCCCATGTGAAGCTCTGCACTGACAGTGAGGAGCCTGCTTGGGATTCTCTCTCTCCCCTCATCTCTCTCTGCCCCTTCCCTGCTCTATCTCTCAAAATAAACATTTTTTTTAAAAAAAGGATCCTCATCAATACCTTGCCATGAAAGAGAGACAGGTTGCCTCACTGACAGATTGTATACATGCTGTTTACCTCTAGTACTAAAGCGGAAAAACATTACCACCTTAGAGTCCTGGAAGAGAAGACAACAATTAATTATGGAACAATCCCTAAAACATGGCATCAGCAACTGATACAGACTTTGTAAGAGACTTTCCTGCTCTCTCCTCATTGGGATGTCCACTTCTGGGCCTATGTGTCCACCGGGTCCCATCTCTGCCTGTGATTCTAATAGAATCTTTTGCTTCTTCCAGGGACTTCAACAAGCTAAAACTTTCTACAGCTTGTTTGTCTGCTCTGACACGTACACCCTGACCTGTGAAAGGCCTGTGTTGAAGCATTCATGGACTATCCATGGCTTCTCAGTTTAGGATTACCACTGGGGAAATTCCACGTAACAGCACAAAGAAGTCTTTGCCAGACAGTCGGAGTTCCATGGCAGAGGGCATACAGGGGCTCTGAGCGGCTGATTCCAGAAAGCTTAGGTAAGTGCTGTGACTGTTTTTGACTTTGCATTTGTAGAAGAAGGCAGTGGTCCTGCACTGTTGTTATACCAAGACCCAGATTAGACTTTGTTCCCCTGTGCATGTGTTCTCAGCTTTCATCCAGCTGGCTCATTTTGAAAGGAAGCATCTAAGCTCCACTTACCCTTTTTTGACCATCTAAGTAACTTCTAAATAGTTTTGGTGTGTGTGTGTGTGTGTGTGTGCGTGTGCATGCATGCGCGCGTGTGTGTGTGTGTGTGTGTGTGTGTGTGTGTATCTGTCTGTCTGTCTTTGGTGGAGGTGTTTGGAGGTATTTTTATCTGCTTTAAAAAGCCTGGAAACCATGGTGGGATAATCTATCTCATTTTTATCAGAAACTAACAACAGTTCCCATCTCTATTGCCCATAGGCAATTTGCTATAGAGTACAGGGACTCACGGAAACATGGCTGAATTCAAATGAAAAGTAGGTCACTAGAGAAAATGGAGTGGCAGCTCAAAGTGTGGTGAGTGAGTTCATGTTTTCCCTAGGCAGACTGACATGACGCTATGTATTAACATCCTTTCTGAAGGAAGACCACTTGTTCTCGTAGTCGGCTTCCACCCGATGTCTCAGGATTCTGAGTCCTGGTTAGGCGTTCAGCTAACCATTCTTTTCCCCAACCTTGTCCTAATGATTCTCCCTTGCAGTTCTGTCATTCCATAGGCTTTCATTTCTGTCAGGTCTGGGTCTCAGGTTGAAACCAAAGCTCATCTGAAGGATTGTTGGTAGGAAACAGGGAGGCCTGGTTACAATTCTAGAATGGGGAAGGTCTTTTACATATCATCTGGTCACTGATGTGCATGGCTCGGATCTCCCTTTAAGATGGAACCTCGCTCGAGGAGTTGAGTTAGCTGACAGCCTCCAGTTTCAGGATCTGCCTCAGCTTTCAGGAGGGAGGTATGTGCTTCCTGGGCAGCTGCCAGCCAATGGCTGAGCAAGGCAGTGGTGCAGTGGCTCATGGGTTCGGGGCGGCACGGGGTTCTTGGCACTGGAGCTCCCGGTTGTGCTGGCCAAGACTTTCTTGGAACTGTACCGCCGTCTGAAGCTCTTCTCATCAACCTTCCTTCCTTTCCCTCTCCTTTGCTGAGATCAGAAACTCTTCCTTCTCACTGGCGACCCTCTCCCTTTTATTTTGCACAGGCGTCACTCGCAGTAAAGGTCTTGCACTTCTTTTTTTTTTAATTTTTTTTTTCAACGTTTATTTATTTTTGGGACAGAGAGAGACAGAGCATGAACGGGGGAGGGGCAGAGAGAGAGGGAGACACAGAATCGGAAACAGGCTCCAGGCTCTGAGCCATCAGCCCAGAGCCCGACGCGGGGCTCGAACTCACGGACCGCGAGATCGTGACCTGGCTGAAGTCGGACGCTTAACCGACTGCGCCACCCAGGCGCCCCAGGTCTTGCACTTCTAATTGTATCTTAGCATCTGCTTCCAAGGGACCCAACCAATACAGCAATGAACTCCCCACTCCTGTCTGAGTTTTACAGTAAAGGGAACTGAGGTCCCAAGGAGGTGGAAGTGACTTACCCAAGATCCCACAGCTAGTTAGTAGCAAAGTCAGTACGACGGCCCAAACCTTCTGACCTCTAGTTCAATGCTCTTTCCCAAACTTCAGCAGTCCACGCACCACAGCCACGTATACAAAAGCCAGATTTTGCTATGTGTGCATCCCCCGTGCTCTTGTTTGCATGACACATTTGACACATTAAGAAATTAATTCGTTTGTCGGTAAATCCCTACCTTAGCCCTGTATGAAACAATAATATCCATGACATTTGGCTTTTGATGTGCTACTTTTATATTTTTCTAGCACATATCGAATAACACATGGCCATTATAATAAAAAAGTTTGTGTGTGCACTACTTAAACTCATCTCATATGCTGTCAGTGATGGGTGAACCCTGGCATGTGTAAGGCCAGACAGAAGGAAAAGGGAGAGGGAGGGAGGGAAGGAGGGAGGCAGGCAGGAAGGAAGGAAGGAAGGAGAGCAAAATACTTATTGATGAGAAAGAAATGGTAAAATCCCATCAATAACTGCCTCAGGTGCCTTGCTGGGACATCTGTGTTTCCTGCCAGCCCCTGGCCTAACTTCCAATGAGTCAGCAAACAGCCTTTACTTATTGGTTGCCCCAAAAAACAAATTGAATGCATTCACATGTAAATGAAGAATCAAGATTTCTCCTCCTAAAAGAGTCAATTCATTTGTCCCCCGAATGGTCTGAAGTGCTCCACTTTGAGCAATTTATTGGAGAAGATGCACACTACATTTCAAGGCAGTAGCTCTAATCTTCCTCTTATAAAGTGTTTCAATGAACCCACTTCCTAAGAAAGAGGTTTAAGTAACATTTCCTTTCTCGTTTAAAAAATATTAATTATCAAAAACAAAATAAGATTTTTTCTTTGATTTAAGAAATCTAAGAGCATAATCATAATAATCTTTCACCTTTGTTGCTATTCTTTTGGTGCAAGAGCTTTATAATCATCATCATTCTGTTGTGCTAATGAAACAAAATCGGGGTTAGAACTCATGTTATGTAATAATTTAATAGATTCTTAGTATCATAGTGATCATTTAACATTTCTCTTTCATTTCATGGAGATGGTATTATTCAGAACCTCTGCTAAACAGATATTACTGATTCAGAAGCCATTTTGTTAATTCCTAAACCAATTGGCTTTTTGGAGAAAGAACTATAAACTAACCTAATGAAATGGTAGCTTCTAGAATAGCACAAATTTTAAAGGCATGGGAAACATGAAGGAAAAGGTTCAAGTTGTGTCTTTTTAGAAGTATAAAGGGGGCCGTACGCTTTGACAGGCTCCCTTGATGTTCTGTTCAGACCTACTTCTGGCATCTGGTTTGAAAAGATCTGGTAGGGGTCTGCTTCTGGAAAGACAAATCCAGTACTGATGGACACATGTACTTGGGTTAATTGGGGAAAGAGTCTGCTTCCTGTGTCCCCTGTCTCTCGTGTTATATTTCAGACCTGGGTAAGATGGTTTACATTTCAAATCCAAATTGAATCTAAGAATAATTGGTGAGGAATCATGTCAAATTACTATGTTTTAAATGAGGAGAGACTATCAGCTTCACAGTCGAAACAGAGACAGCGTAATTGAAAACAAGGCTATTGCATTCAGGGTTTGGTATTTACTGACTCATTTCTTCAAGTGTCTAGAGAACACGTTAGTTTCTTCATGTATTTCTTTTTTGGATGATCGCAGACGACACAAACTAAATAGAATATATTGCCTTGGGAAACAAAAACTCTGCTTGTTCTTACCAGGTTAGCAAGCATGTAGTGATAACCTCTTGAATGTTTTCCCAGGATCACAACCTGCAGAAGAAATAAGAAATCCTGTTTATTTAAGAAGGGCATTTTCAATTACCCAATCAATGGGAAATGCAACAATCAATCAATGGGCTAGAGCAAATTGCTTTTAAGTGATCAACAAAGTGTCAGGTCTTTTACATACAGTAAAATCACAGTTAGCTGGAACAGAGTTCCTTCTGTACATTTCAATTTCAGGCAGAGAATACAGGAAGGATGGCTAATATTAAAGTTAAGAGTGCCAACGACGAGGGAGAAAAAGCTCTCTAAACTTCCAGGTCAGTTGCATCGTTGTCACTTAAAATAGATGGCAGAAGCGATGATGATCCTCCACCCATGAACTGGATTGTGTACTTAGCTGCTGAGACGGAAAATGGGCTGAACTTGGAATACAAATTAGAAAATAGAACGTACAGTCCATTTTTTTGTTGTTATCTGGAATGCTTAGGGAATAGAACACGCGAGGAATGGGGTTAATGGGATTTTCAGGTTAATCGAGGTTGCTTTCGCCTATTGAAACTTTTCGAAAATGCTTACCTTCCTTCTCCTGCCTAATGTGAAAGATTTGTGACCATTTGTCCAGCTTTTGGTACTGAATGTGATGCCTTACGGGAGTGGGGGTGGGGATTTCCCCCGAGAGGACATTTGGAGATGCCTGGGGGCATTTTTCGGAGTCACATCTGGAAGGGTATCTAGTGAGGAGAGGCCAGTAGTGATGATGCTAAACATCCTACAGTGTGTGGTGCAACCCCTCAAAACAAAGAATTATCTGGTAAAAAAGATGTCACTAGGGCCGAGGTTGAGAAATCCTGCCTTGGGGTCATCATTCTTATGGTCATTTTCATGAGTAACGCTGTATTAATTCTAAGCCTTACAGTTTACCAAATGCATTTTTGTTCTTTCAAAATATATGAGTGGATTGAGTAATTTCCAACCAAATATATTGGTTGTCAGTCGGAAGTTTTTGACTAAATAGTTGACGTTAACTTATTTCCAGATAGCTGAGATGAGCAAATTCTGGTTAATTGAGGATTTTATAAAATGTCATTTTATTAAGTACTGAGTATGTACAAAGTACTGTACCGAATACAGGGAGTGGGGACAAGGAGGGGGTGACACAGACGTGAAAGATACAACCAGAAGTGGAAAAAGGTTTTGTGCTAAGTCTGAAGCCGATACCACTTTACGAGCCCTCTTTAAGAAAAGCAGTACAAAATTACGAACAGTAAGGCCTTGGAAAGAACCCATGCGGGTAAGGCACAATTAAGCTTACGGTTCGTGTGAAGTTCCATCGTGGACACAGGTATCAAAGGGTTTAAAAACAGCTTGGGAGGACAACAAAGCTGCATACATGTCAAACCCGAACTATATGTGTCAAAGGCCACAATAATAGTCAACACAGCCGCCCTTCATCGAGTGCCTAATATGTGCCAGCCACTGTCCTGGGTGTTTTACATGTATTTAATCCCCAGAACAACTTAACAGATTAAATGTCATTAGTTTTATTTTACAGATGAGGAACCTCAGCTAGAGAGAGTTTAAGCAGCACACCCAAGGCCACACAGCTCAGAAGCAGTAAAGCTGGGATTAGAACCTGGGTCTGTCTGCCTCTAGAACCCGTATTTTTGGCGGTACATTACACGGTTCCTTAATATGTGCTAGTTGTCAAATAGCAATACTTGTTCTATGTTCTTGGAGAAGAGGAAGAAAACGTATCTAAGGTCTGCTGGGATGGATCAGGAAGGCTTCCTGGAGAAGATAAGTTTTAAGCTGGCCCAGAGGAGTGGAACCACATGTATGTATGTTTGTTTGTTTAAAGTTTATTTATTTATTTTGAGAGAGAGGAGGGCAGAGAGAGAGAGAGAGAGAGAGAGAGAATCCCAAGCACAGAGCCCATGCTGTCAGCACAGAGCCTGATGCAGGGCTCGATCCCATAAACCATGAGATCGTGACCTGAGCCAAATCAAGAGTTGGACGCTTAACCGACTGAGATACCCACGCACCCGAGAACCACATATTTAAATATCATGCTGGCATTAGAAGGTCTCCATGCATTTCAAGGGCTGAGAGAGAAAGAGAGAGAGAGAGAGAGGGAGAGAGAGAGAGAGAGAGTGTGAGAGAGAGAGAGGGTGAGAGAGAGAGAAAGAGAAGGCTGTTTTCGATTAATTTAAAATATGAGCCACATTTCTGACTGATTATTTATGGAGGAAATGAAAGGTTAATGAATGTCTTGAGGAAGTGATTTCTCACACTGCCATGACACAAAATGAGCTGTTAGGTATCAGCTGGGATGTATTCTTCAGTGTCCGCTTTTGAGAAACACCCTTACTAGTGACATTTGTTAACTTTTGATGGCAAGTTGGGGCCATACATTTGTTGAATTTTTAATTCACTGACAACCCTCAACATAATAAAATCAGAGGGTTTTGAATTCCGCCAGAAAAATGAGCAAGATTCCTAAGGACATCTAGCAGAGAGAGCTTAGGGCAATAAAGCAGCAAGCCCAAAGGAAATGGCGTCTTGGTCACCAGAGGAAGGGCTCAGTGTCCTTTTGAGCAGAGGGAAGGTGAAGGGATCCATAGCAGTATTGGTGTTGTGAGCAAAGCCCCGAATGAGAACCCAGGAGCCCAACCTTGTCACGTACTCACTGTTTGCTTGTGGGCAAATCACTCAGCTTACCCCAGTCTCCATGTCCTTATCTGTCATCTGGGGCAATGAACCTGACCCTTCCTGTCTCAGCAGTGCAGTCAAGATCAAACTGAAGAACACGTACGGAAATGGTCAGGACGTGCCTCATGGAACCACGTGAGGTTAAACAACCGTGGGAGGGAGTCATTCCCTGACACATTGTGTTTTGGGTTCAGAAAACCCTGAGGCTATTGGAATATCTGCCTTGGTCCCTGCCCAGAGGGTCTGTCCAAAAGAAAGTCACTTATTTGAAGATAGCTGTTTCACATCATCACCTTCGAAAGCTTAGCTTACGCTGTAAGAGATGGGAAAGTTATGTAAGGAGAGGAACCTTTTTGTGTCACAGAGCTGCCACCTCGAAGGCCATAATTATTTCCTCACCCTTACTTTCAGTGCCTTCTTAACTCTTACTTGACACCCGGTTCTGAACAATCTTGGTTTTTCAGTTCACGGTGAATGAGAAGCTGTCAGTCAGAAGGGGTGTGTGGAGAGGGAGGGAGTATTAGAAAGAGGTATGTGAGCAGCAGAGGAAGCGACAGACTGGTTTAGAGGCGCAGCAGACAACATCGTATGGTGTGATCATGGATGTTCGTTGTGAATGCCTGAGTCATCGGGGTATGGTCTGTTGGCATGGGTAACGTCTGCTGAAAAAACCCACAATACATGTTGTGGGAGGTTGCCATCAGAAATGGTCAAAGTCCCAGTCCTTAAAAGGGTACACTCCACTCTCTCGAATTCTTACTTACACGAGGCAGCAGCGATCCTCCTGATGTGAGCTCAGTGAGGCCTTGCTGTGAAAAGTGTCAGGTTTTGCTCTCCGTCTTTCCCTTTTTTGAATTTTTGGTGCAGGGCTTGTGGGAGTGCGGGTGGGGTGGGAGGGTTGCGTGTGATAGCATGCACAAAAGAACTAGTTAATGGGAGTGATTCTTGTTCAGTTAGTCCTCAATCTTTATTCTTTCCCTCTGCTATAGACGAACAAGGCATACATTGTACCCTTAGTTATTTAATGACTCTGCTAACCAAGAGAATATTCAACTTGGCTTTTACAGTAATTATAATAGCTCGTTCTGAATTAGTTTCAGAACTTCAAGTATAAAAGCTGTCTTAATGGTCTACTTTGAAATTTAAGGAGGAACTTCCAAGTTCCCAAATCCATGAGCAGTATTCACTGTGCCTTTAGATCTGTTGGAGATGATGGGTGGCTAGATATGACGGCAGATACGATAAATGTAATAAGGAGAAGCGCATGAAGTGTAGATAAAATTCATTGTCTTAAGGACAGTTATTTTTATCCTCACAAATAGGACCTGAAAGAAAATAATGCCACGATCCCATTTCGTCGAAACTTAAACCACAGTTTCATTTGCAGATAAAAACAGCTCTCACATACTAACTCACTGAGTCGTGCATACAGCGTTGCATTAAATTAGTTGTTAAAGCAGTCAGTGAATCGTGGTCTACCTATTTGGGGGAAGTGTTCCCTTATTGACTCCCCCATCCACTTATCCAGGAAATTGGAGGCTGGGTTTCACCGAATAGTTAAAAATAATTCAGAAAACGTTCGGTTGGTTTTCTATGTAGGAGGCCATTTCTTTTCCAGTCTAATGCTCAATCTACACATTTTCATAATTTTAGAAATTTGAAATGAAATTGCTCCATAAGACTATTTGAGAAAGGCCCACACACCCTTTGGGAGCAGAAGCATCTGTTTTTCTATGCTCACATTAAAAAAAAATATATATGTGTGTGTGGAAAAGTGTCTATGATTTGTTCCCCTTAGATCCATCTGGTATGTAGACCTAAGTATCTCCATGTTTGGATTTTCTGCATCAGTGCCGAAAAAGGATCTATGTATAAAGATCGATCTTGCTTTGAGTACAGAACATGCCTTCCCACTCACCTTAATCTGCTCCTCTTTGATTTAGGTACCCTGAGAACATTTGGGGGGCTGGGGAGAGAAATGAGGGAGATTTCCAGTTTTAATTCACCAGACTCACCTCTTGTACAGGTATTTTCTCTCTCAGGAACAAAACACTCTCCTTGTGTTTGAAGGGAAAACATTTTTTTCAACATTCCCCCTCCCTTTCCTGCTTCCTCAGTTATAAAAAGATACTGTTGTCCTATGGCAACCTATCTAATTTCAGCTGTATTGGGAGTTAAATAGTGGTATGCTACAAAAAATCAGCCTTAGAATATGCACACTGCCCAGAAGAAATCTTCCATCAGATATGATAAAAGGCGTTCATTTTCTTGAATGAAAACCCCAAGCTACTAAATTGCTTTAGTCTTAGTATACATATATCAGAAGTCAATTCCGT